GAAAATGAGGGTACTTTGTCTTTTCCTATTTGTGTCATTTTTATTCCTTCTTTTTTTTTATTGCTGTAGCTAAGACTTCAAGAAATATGCTGAATAAAAGTGGAGAAATTTTGTATTGTTCCTGGTTTTAGTGGAAATGCTTTTATGTTTTTTTTTCTCTTTAGTAATGATGTTGGATGTATGTTTGTCATATATAGTCTTTATTGTGTTCAAATATGTCCTTTCTGTTTCTAGTTTCTTTGGGTTTTTTAGTCAAAAAAGGATATTGGGTTTTGCCAAAAGCCTTTTCTGCATCTATTGAGATGACCATGTGATTTCTGTCTTTGAGGCCATTTATGTGTTTGTATTACATAGTTGATTTACATATGTTGCTGATCCATCTCTCCAACTTATTGTTTACATTTCTGTTTCATTTTTTTTTTTTAAGACAGGGTCTCACTAAATAGTTCTGGCTGTCCTGGAGCTCACTATGTAATCCAGACTGGCCAAAAACACATGGGATCCCCCTGCCTTCCCCTCCTGAGCCCCCTCATTCCTTGTGGGTTTGTTTGGGGTTGATTCCTGTATTCACTCTCCCCTCTGTGACCTTCCCCACTCTTTTAACTGTCCTGCATCTTCGGAAGGTGTGTGGAGCTGACAAGCTAATGACTACCCCATATAGAGGTACAGGGAAACTGTCAACTATATCTATGGAAGGTCCAGGGTCTCCAAACTTAACTACCAATTTAACAACAGAGCCTGAAACTGAGACAGAGAACAAAGGCAAGAAAGTTCCTTGCTAGTTGAAGTCCACCTTAAGGTGTAGGGCTCACCCCATCCTTTCACTGTCACTTAATCGTTCTATGGGACTCTGGGATGGGCCCAGGCCAAATGGGATACTTGAGGCTCAGCGCAGGCTAGGAGCCAGGGACGCTCTGGTCACCTCTTTGATGCCTAAGTCAAGGAGTCCTTGGCTCCATTGTGTTCCAGAGGAAGAAAAGGTCCATTTCTTTTTGGGAGAGCTACCTTTATTCTGGGGACTTCAGTCTCTTTTTCTAGGAGTCTGGTCTTTCCTGGTAAATGTCTTAAGACTCACTCCTGATAGGATTTCAATGATGAGCAGACAGAGAAGCCACCCCCCCCCCAAAAAAAATAAAATACCGAGCACTCATGCCTAGCAGAGTATGCCAGCGCGTGAGAACTAACCTGGGTGAGGAGGGGGATGGAGTGTGATTTGCTTCTGACAGGGAAGACAGAACTGAGAGGGTACCTAGGAACTGGACTGGTAGGGTACCTGGAACAGAGAGGGTTTCTGAAGAATCTGGGTACAGGTTAATGAAGTGACTACAGGAGAGGCAGGCTATGACCTGAGCTTTTCTGAGGCACTCTGGGGCAGGTCAAGAGGGTAAAAGCCAGGAGGCTCCACCCACATTTAAGTTAGGTTGGAATAAGACTGGCCACAGAGAGAGAGATGTAACATTTAGGTTTTCTTCATTCTTTCTCACTGTATTTTTTCCCTCTTGACTGGAAAACGACCTTATCTCCAGTTTCCTTGGAGCAGAGACTGGTAGCTGCTGGAGGAGGGAGGACAAGAAATGCACGTGTCCCCCACATAGATGGTAACTCACATGACCCACGCCATCCCAGGGTCTCTGTTTGCAGTCTGAGAGCCCACCAAAATCACCACCCCCACACCCTTCCCTGGTGGCCATGGTGGAATTGGCCTCTCCGGTTTCTGGTAATTTCATCAGGGCTGCATCATGTTGCTAAGACCCAAGATAACATCTGCATGTGTGGTAACCCTTCCTTGTCAGAGCTCTTGTATAGGGTGTAGGGTGAATAAGGGAGGCGGTATGAGGGTCTTTAAGGCAGAACATAGTGGGGTGAAATGTGTGTCCAGGGACACTTTCATTTGTCCCTAGGATCATGTGTAAAGGAAGGGGAAGGGGCTGGGGTTGGGGTACACAACCAGGACCAGCTGCTGTAGACCACAGTCTCTCTTGATACATCCAACTGGGTTTACTGACAAGCCTGAAAACCTGAACGCCAGGAGGGCCTGGAGAGTCAGTCCACCTTAACAGGGCTGTCCTAGGTGAGCTGCTTGCAATGTCATCTGCACAGCCAGCAGCCCAAGCTGGGTGCGGGACATGCATAGCTGCCAGCCAGAACAGGCTCTTCACAGCAGATCTGCAAATCGGCACCATGCTCCAGGGCTCTGTAGAGGTTGGTGGGCCCCTCTGGGGCTGGGATGGTGATGGAGATGACGACTGGGATGGGGCTGTACTCACCTTGCTGGCACTAGCTGTGGTAGCCACCATAGCATTGGCTTTGCAGTGGTTTGGCTCCAGGCAGGACCAGGAGGCACGAGGATCAGCATCCACAGCTCCAGGTGTGCAACCTGCTCAGGCGGGAGGAGTCAGGCTGGCCCTGCACCTGAAGTCCAAGGACAGTGATGCCATTGAGGGACAGAGCAAAGGACAGGAGAAATCAGAGGTTCCTGGAGATGGCCAGAAAAGACCAGCTATAGCGAGGGCTCAGGACCCGGAGCCATCAAGAGGCAGAAGCATGGCTTCAGATGCCTGGCTTTCGCTCAAGATATCTGGAGAGGTGGCCAGCAGAGGGACCACCCCAGCAACCCTGGGAAAGAAAAGAAGGGCGCCAACTAGGCCAGAAACTTCCTTCCAGGGCCACCAAAAAACGAGGGATATTCCTGTCCCTATCATGATCCGCTTTACCCCCCGAAGTCCTGATAGCAAAACAGAGATGTGGGTGGGGTCAACTGGCACTTGTGGTGAGGGGGCAGCTCAGCCGGGCTCCGTCCATACAGAGCAACAGGACACCAGTCCACAGCACCTGGCTGTAGGGCCTCCTGGGCCCCTGGGGAGAAGCCTAGGCAGCTTGCGCCGGCGTCGGCGGCCTGGT